GAGCAGTGTAGGCAACCCCTAAATCATGGGTGGCCAAACTTACTGGCCCTCCGAGCCGCATACGATAATCTTCAGAAGTTTGAGAGCTGCAAGACACTCACAACCTGGCCCGTGGGGCAGCGCCTGCCATGGCACGCACCTGGCTGAAGCCCCGAGGCCTGCTCTCCCCCCTGCGAGGGGTTAAAGCCCCGAGACTCCCCTCCCTGCAGAGAAGAAGCCCCTAGCCCACCACCCTAGCCGCAGGACAGAAGCCCAAGCTCCCTCCCTCCGTCTGGTAGGTGGAGAATGGGGGAGGGAGGGAGGAGAGAGTGGTGGGGGCTTCGTGAACACCACTTTAACTGTAAAAGAGCTGCATGTGGCTTGCGAGCCACAGTTTGGCCACGCCTGCCCTAAATCAATGCAACTGGTTAATCTTGCTCCTTAAATTTTGAATTATATGTACTACAAATTAGTTAAGAAAAAGCTACAATTTTTAATTAAGTGTAAAACACGGTCAACTCATAAATATTCACCCACAAATGTGGAATGGGGTAATTATTCAGAATATTTATTTTTCCCCGATACATTTCTAAGACTGGTAATTTGTGTGAAATTGTATTACTTTCCTAGCTATTACAGAAACTGTACTATATCAATTACATCTATGAAAATACAAATCAAATTCCCCGTTTTCAACTACTGTCAGCTACTTCAGCAGAGCAGCACAGCCGAACTTAAAACAGCAAAAATCCATTCTGCTACTTGCCTCCCCAGCAGGGGTTGTGACTGCAAAGCCTGAGAACTAATACTAGCTCTTCTCCTTTCTCTTCAAAAACCACACTGGGAACAATCATCTGTGACAGATTTAACTTAAACTTTTTTTAAAATCAATCTTCAAACATTTATATCTCTGCACTTCTATTAGGGCAAATATACATAACAATTTTCAAGACTGCAAAATCATTTCTTCTTCCCCAGAAAACAATCAGACACTCAAATAGTAGTATCTCAGCATGGTTCCTGTGTAGTACACGTGCATTATGTTCCTGTGAAGTTCACAAGTGTGCCATCCTGACAATACTGCACCTGCCTTCCTGGGAAAACCATCATGGCCTGCTAACCTTTTCTACAAAACAAATTTCTGGGTGGTACTCCCTAGAAAGCAATCTTGCTTTATTCTTCCATCTTGTGCCCAACATGACATCTTAACCAAACAGACTTTAAAAAAAATAAATAAAGACATTGCTGGGTACAGCAAACCATAGGATCAGATGCGAAAACCACACAGCTGCAAGCATTCTTTTGGGAACCCAGCATTGGAGTTCATCTCAATCGCTTAATGTAATTACAAAAGTCAGTCATGTAGTAGTAATGTAATTTGCACATTTCTGCAGCTGAAGTGAAGTTCAATCTTTATGAGAGACTGAGTAAAAGGCAGGGGTCCTGCTGCCACACTATTCCACCACATTAGTACCAAATGACAAGCATTTTGCTTTTGTTTATCCTCCAAGATGCATTAATTAGGAAATCTATATAACCCACCCTCTCTTTCCAGTTTTAAAATGTTTTACTTTATCTTTATATGGATTCTTGATTATCAAGAACTTGACAAGTATAATAGCCAACATCTAATATTCATGTGCATAATGTATTTGTACAGAGGCTTGCACATATTTGTATGCTATGAAGTGTCATACCAATCAGTTGTCAGAGAACAAAACACACAGATATTAGACTGTACATTTTATTATAGATGCCACAATTTCTTCAATGACAAATAAGTAGCAATTTTCCCACTTCAGTATGCTTACTCACAGATCAGAAGAAATGGGGGAGTAAGAGGAGAAAATACAACAAAGCACAAGATTTATTTTAAAATATTTAATAGCAGGTTGTTGGTAGCAAGTATTGCAAGCTGGTAGTCAATACTTTCAGATTTATCATTTTAAAAAAAATCACATTTATTACGATTTTTCTTAACCTCATTACCTGACCATTACAAAAATCAAAATCTTCTATACTGTATTAAAAATCAAAAGGGAAAAAGAAACATCAACAGAACTATGAAACAAGCATTTAAATGAAATTAAGAATTATGGTGAAAATAACTATTTAACAAGAAATAAAGGCCTCAGATCTATCCACAAAAGACAAGAAGATTCAAAATTCATATATGTAATTCAGACTATTATATTTTATCCCCTTTTCTGTTTGTACACTAATGTGAGTTAAGTTTGGGTCTCAGTCAAGATTTTCGGTATGTTGTCTGTTTTTTCTACCCTCCAAGATCTAAGAAGGGCCCAAGTTAAATTCTTTTAGTGGAAAAACAATTTTTTAAATTTTGAATTTAATAATCATTTAGTGAAGAGCAATCGCTGCAACTAAATTTATCGAACTGGAACAAGACAGTCAACCTTGTTCAGAAGTGTCCCCGCTCACCAGTGATTTATCAATAGATCAACAATTCCCAGATTCTTCTGGCAGCTGTACCAATTCACCAGACTAAGACCTCAGCTGTACCAGTCAAAATCCTCTCCTCTTCCTCTAACCTGTGACCTCTTTTCCTTGCTTCTTTAGTGATAAAGATACAACCTTTGAGCTCAGTCTTTCTAAATGTTGCAGGCACTGGCCCTGATCTGAACCACTTAAGCATGGGATTGAGTGCTTTGTTGAATAAGGGTCAGAAAGCTGGTCACTGTACAGGATCCAGTCTTCTGCATTAAGCTTTCTGGTTCTTCAAGCTCCAAATCCTGCAAACACTTAAATGCATTTGACTTTACGCATGTGAATAATTGCACTGAAGTCAATGCAACTACTCACATATTCAAAAGTTGTGCATAAGTGTTTGTGGGATTAGTCTAATTTTGCCCTCACAATTATATGGACATAGACAACTGGGGACTTCAGGGAGAAGGGGGGGGGGCTTTAGCCCACAGGCCTCTCCCCAGAAAAATTTTAGGGACTCCGTTGATAAAGGAAACACTGAGTTTGGAACAGAAGCTAGTTTATCTCACTTTATTAATAGTGGGCAAATTTAGTTCTGGTACTAAACTACTCATTGAAGTGACAGTCAACTGCTATTATTTTATTATGTTTTAACTCTAGCCCCCACTCCCAAATAAATAAAAAAATTGTCTATGGCTCTGAATTAAACTAGAGGAACTCAAAAATCCAGCAACACATCAGACAGTGCAAAGACATTATTTAGTGCAGCACCAGTTGCACTGTACATAAGCTAGAATGAATGAGACGGCAGCAGCAACATACTGAAGCTCACCAAAAAAGCTGAGCTTAGTACATCACTGATTTTAAATTTCATTCTCTATAATTCAGTATTTTGTGACATTACTCCTTCATTCAGAAAATGTCTTCACAAACATGTTCATCTGAGTAAAATCTTCAAGAGTTTTCTGTCTTTTTCGTATCTCACTTTTAATGCCTGCATTCTCAGACAGCGTTAATAAAATTTGATTTTCTAATTCTTGGATTAAATAAATAGGGCATACTCAATGTGCTTCTATTAAAAAAAACAAACCACATATAAAATGCTGTTCCTTTGCATGAGCATTGGGCCCAACATGACTTGACAATGATTAAGATTTAAGATTAAGCTGGCTGGTAATTTTGGGTGTCCCATTTTCAGAAAGTGATGAGCAAAAATCAAGACACCTTAAAAGCATCTCAAACTGGCACCTAAAATTTGAGGCATCCCAAATCACTATGCACTTCCGAAAATCTTAGCCAGAATCTTTTTTATTTTTTGTAAAAACAAGCTTTTATTAATCAAATTTAAATATTTTACATTCGATTATTTGAAACAATTACCACAGTATTTAAGTGGTTGCAAACGGAAATATCACAGTCCTTTTTTTTTTTTACTTGTGCATGAGAACCAGACATTAAAAATAGGACTATAAAGGAAAGTGAAATTGAATATTGTATTTTCATTGTCCAAAATGAGAGAAACACGTACTGTAAAAACAGCATAATGAAGAACTCTATTTTTAAAAGTCAATATGCCATTATTTGTAACTGAGGTGAGAAAATCTGATTTTTTTAAATATGACAACTTGAAAGGGTCTCATTGTGAGATGATCACCTGGAAAACAATTTCCATTAAAACTAACAAGAGTTATGCACATTCACTAAGGGGCATATAAAGACCTACCCATAAGGCTATATAATTCTGATCCTATCCCTAAGCAGCTGATGCAACTATGCTCTTCTGGGAATGTGCAATCAAAAGTCTTTTCCAAGTCTGTTCCCCTTCCCCCCCAATTACGTCTAAATAATGTGAAATCTGCCCAGTCCCAGTAAAATTTTAGGTCTGAAATGCTGCAGCAAGACTTGTCTCAGTGCTTATATCATCCATCTCAATCTTCAAAAGTGCAAAGGTGAGCAGCAAGTATACCTAATTATCTCCAGTATATAGGTACAAGAAGAAAGACACATTAGTTGATGCTTTATGAGCCTGATACCGCTAAAACTTACTACTACATATAGTACTAACTTGTGCAATTAATTTCATAAAGTCAAGTGATTGAAAGCACTAAAGCTTATTGCTGGACGTAGAGAACTGCTGTGCAAACGTCATCAATGAAATAAGTAAGCAATTGTGCAGTTTAAAAATGTGACTGGTACAAAAACTCAACCAATTAATTTTTTTAAAATGCAGTTTGTATGCGTGAATGTAAATGAGATAACGAATGCTTTATCATCAAGTACTTGCCTTTATTTCTGGGGACCTAACCAAGGTTTTATCATCTACCATAAACTGATGTAATAAAATACAGATGCAGAAGGTGAAATTCTGGGAGAATTATATTACAGTGCCCAACATATTAGTTCTACTACCACAGTAGAAGGCAGTGTTTCTGGAAACAACTGTGAAAAACATTTGTATCAACACCATCCATAGTTTTTGGATTGTATTATTAATACAATCCAAAATCTGAGATGCCGTTTCTAGAAACATGAGATACGTAATTGGTGCATTAAATAAAATTATTACTGTAACTTACTTGGTTCAGTCCTAGAAACATGTTTCTGAAGAAAGTCAACTATCTGAGCCAAAACCTTCTTGTTGCAGTGTGTTGACAGCTCTTCATCACATTCATAACACCTAAACAATACACAGAATTTAAACAGAGAGAAATAGATTGGAATTCAGGAGAAACAGGTTCACTTCCCAGATCTGACAGACTTCCTGTGTACTTGGGCAAGTCACTTAAGGCCACATCCACAAAGGGACTTAAGCACCTAATTTTCAGCTTTAGGAACCATTGACATCCACAAAACCCCTGTGTGGCTGCCACCAAACCATGTAGATGTCTAAACTCACTTGCTGCCTAAATTTTCTCTGTAAAGGTACCTTAGGTGCCTAAGTTTCTGCCCCTGTGCATGCTCAATGCTGTTTCGCTGTAGGCATCCAGACGCCTAAGTTCCACCACTATCCACAAACCAGGAAAAGATAAGCATTCCTCTGCCTATCTTGCCTATGTGGACTGATCCATTAGGTGTCCACAGGGTTCCCCTGCTTCTCGAAACTTCAAAGCGCTGCTGTGGGAGCGCTCCCGCGGCAGCGCTTTGAAGTGCGAGTGTGGTCGCGCACCAGCACTGGGAGAGAGCTCTTCCAGCGCTGCAGGTACTCCACCTCCACGAGGGGATTAGCTTACAGCACTGGGAGCACGGCACCCAGCGCTAGGGCATTGTTTACACTGGCGCTTTACAGCGCTGTTAACTTGCTGCGCTCAGGGGGTGTTTTTTCACACCCCTGAGCGAGAAAGTTGCAGCGTTGTAAAGTGCCAGTGTAGCCATAGGCTCAGGCAAATGCCCTACCCACTGGACTATAGAATATTCTGATATGGGTCTCTCTCAATTTCATTTAATTCAAGTAGAACAGAATCAACAAATGAATAATTAAATATTGATTGGGCATAAATAATAAATAAAATAAATCATGCAAATATATACTAAGGGTTTTACATTTTTACAAACAATATATATGTAACAAGGCTTTGCTGTACACATACAGTATACAAAAAAGGTAGTTTTGCAGAAGAAGGAGTAGCAAAATCGAAAAAAACTCAGTCCAGACTTCCATTTACCTTGCTTTTCTGTCCAAACTTAAAAAATGAAGGAAACAAAATAATTTTGGGTTGATTTTACCTTCTTTAAATTCTACTACAGTGAACTGCTCATGCAAAACTCCGTTACTAGTAGCTTTATATTTAAACTCAAGGGAGAAAAAGTGTTCCTGATTTTTTAATCTGAAAAGGCTATATCCATAAATCTTAGGTCAGAGGTTTTCATTTTTTCCATTGTATGAACCACACTGTCGTGGCAAAATAGTCTAATGCACTATTTTCTCTCCCTCTCATTTGTGACCACATAACATACATGGGACCACCAAAGCAATTACTTATGTAGACAATTTATATTATGAAATTAATTTATTTTTTGTTTCTTTTAATTTTATCTTTTTTTTTACAGTGCAAATATTTGTAATAAAAAATTATAAAGTGAGCACTCTACACTTTGTATTTTGCATTGTAATTGAAATCAATATATTTGAAAATGTAGAAAGTTATCCAAAATATCTATAATAAATTTAAATTGGTATTCTATTGTTTAATAACTGCGATTAACCACGATTAATTTTTTTAATTGACTTAATTTGTTTTGAGTTAATTGCTTGAGTTAACTGTGATTCATTGATAGCCCCAGTAGAAACATTACTGGCACTAAGCTTGAGCTATTCTGTGCTGAAGATGTGTGCAGAGGTGTGACGAACTTGGGACTGTTCTTACTGTGGTGTGTGAAATGCTGACAGGGGAGTGTGGCTAGGATAGTCTGCATTGGGGGATGGGAGTCTGCCCGAAGGCGAATACCTGAGACGTGTAACATGAGAACCCAGGAAGGGGTTGGAGGCCAGGTGACACCCTTGGCCCGGGAATCTGAACAAAGGGTG